GGCACCATCAGAGTGCATGGCAGGCATGTGGAAAACTAGCGAAATTGCATCAAAGAAAGGAAAATATTTGCAGTGCGTGGCGGGGCTGGGCAAAAAAATCGAAAATAAAAAATGAAAATCGGAAAATCGGATAATGCAAACAGCAAATTAAAAACGAAGCGCAACGAGAGGCTGTGTCAATGGGTTGGGAGGGGGGGGACATGAAGAAATGCTGCAGGACAGGACAGGACAGGGCAGGACAGGTTCTGTTACTGGTGCTCCTCCTACGCCCCCTCGATCTCGTCCTGTTCCTGTTGCTGGTGTTGGTGCTGCTGCTGCTCAGTGACCATGCGACCATGTTTGGGCCCGGCTAATTGAAAGCCGACGCCACCGCCGCCGCCGCCTTTGCGCTTTGCGCTTTGCAGCCAAAGACAAATATTGGATGGACCGCAGCTTTATGCATATTTAAAATCAATTAAGTCAATAAATAATAAGCACCGGCCTTAATGCAATTTCATATAAACGAAATGCGGCAAATGCTTGTTTGCCCATGCAACAGCAGCAAAGGCAGCAGCAATGGCGAGGACTGGAGAGGACTAGAGAGGACTGGAGAGGACTGGAGGACTGGAGGCTAGTGGCAGCAGGTAGGCAGCAGCCCAGAGAGGTCAAGAAACACGACACGGATAGCCCCGGAGCCCGAACCAGAGCCTGAAACGGATTTGGGCGCGACACGCTTCAAGAGTCCTCCACGCGCCACTTGGGAGCCACTTTGGTGGAGGCACAAAAGGGAAAGGAAGATGGAAAACGGGGTGGGGGTGGTGCACTCAACGGTGAGTTGCAAATTGTTGCCAGTTGTGTGCCGCACCGCATCAAGCTGCATGCCACATGCCAATTCGGACCAAAGCCAAAGCCGAGTGATTGAAAGGGGCACACACAAAGCGGTCGCCGGAGCACGCCAGCCAATGCACTCATCCACGAAATCTGGACACAAAGCGTGCCCCACTCGCTGCCCCTGCCACTGCATCTGCCCCCTCTTTGCAGCATCTCCTGGAAGCTGTGGCGAAGTAGAGCGAATCACAGAGCAAGCCAAGCGAAATCAAATGGAAAAAAATACCGGCTAAGCGCGTCCACAGCTCCTCCCTACAAGCCACGAAAAAAGTGCAAAAGGAACGACTCCCGGGGTCAGGCGGCTATGTCAAAGTAGGCGAGCAATTGGAGTGCAGCCGCAAATGTGGCACAACGAGTGCCAAAAGCTAAAAGCAATCGGAATGCGTCCAGAGTCCGGAGTCGACCAAGCAAACTCCAAAAAGTATGCAACGAAGATGATGATGATGCCATCCATCCAGTCCAAAAGACGAGCAACAAACAACAGAGCAGCAGCACCCCCCACACACACACACACATGAACACCCATTCACACACACACAGAGAGAGGGAATTGGGAAATTTCATTCATGACGATGAACTCTGAAGCTCTCTGGCTGCATGCATATGCCCCAGTCCTCAGTCCCCAGTCCTCAGTCCCCAGTCCTCAGTCTACAATCTCCACTCGACAGCCATGTCATGTCCTTGCAATGCCCAAGCCCAGGCGCCACTCCAGTCCCCCCCCGCCCACTCCAGCCCCCTCCCCACCACACACCAGTTTGAGTCCCCAATCCCTAGCCGTAGCCGTAACCGTAGCCGTGTCCGTGTCCGCGTGTGCATCTTTTTGCTTTCGTTTTAGAAAACTCACAACTCGCACGACATTCAAACCAAACCAGTCCAGACCAGACCAGGCCGCGGCATGCCAAAAAGAAACTGCAACGAATCAAGGACGAATTTTTTGGCAGTTTTTTCTGCTTCTGCTACGTGTACCTCGCCGCCACCCCAACACCCAACTCCTCACCATGAGTACTTGCGAGTGTGTGTGTGTGTGTGTGTGTGAGGAAATGTCGGTTTGGCTTTGTTTTCCAGTGACTCGACTCTGTTTCGGCTGGCATTATTGCTTCTGTTTCTCCTTTTTCTGCACACGATTCACGGTTATTCTTTGGCGTTTTTTGTGCCCGACAGGACAGCACAGCACAGCAGCACACGACACTCTCTGCTCGGTCTCTCGTGTAGCCAAAAAGAAACCATAAATGGAGCCAGCCAGGCAGCCTGAGTGGCCACTGCGACCCAGATATTCACATGGGGGTGGAGGGAAAGAAACGATCTTCTCCATCCTTCACCATCCTTCACTACAGTGTGTTGGTGTGTGGGTCTCGGGCTGTGCCAGTTCAATACTCATTAGTGGAACATGCTGACGATGGCACTACCTCGGCCGTGCCCCCCTGTGGAGAAAGTGCTAAAAAGCAATGTTCTCCATAAACTGAGGCCACACTCCGACAGAGAAAGAGAGAGATGGTATCGCTGGCTACGATGGACTCTCCTGTTGAATGGACTTACTCTGACGCTCCTCCCATTTGCGCTGTGTGCACTATCAATCTGTCTTGGCATGATCTGCCATTCTGCCTCTACCATTGCCATTTCCATTTGCCCTTCCCCTTTAGCGCCGCGCATGTTGTGTACATATGTGATGAGCATCTCCGGGCCTGGCATGCAAAGGAGCTACACGAAGAGCTGGGGCTAAGCCGCGTCGAGCTGCGATGGAACCAGCAGCAGAAGCAGAACAAAGGCGCCAAAGTCAGGCGGAGAATATACAAATCCCCCGGTTTGTAAGCCAATTTGCACTTAGGCTTATCTAATGTCATATCATTTGTATAATGCTCTGTTCTGGCCTGATACTTGATGCCTACTCGACTGGCACTGGCACTGGCATTGGCACTGCTATATGGCAGTCAATACTCTGCCACACACGCCACACACATGGGGCCACTGTCTCTGTCTCGTGCCCCGAAAAATGCTTGCACTATGCATGAATGTGTGGGCGTGTAGCATGTGGGAGCCGCACGCCTTATCCTGCGGGGTTCATTTCTAAGCTCATTTATGTTTATCACAAATGCGTGCCAAAGTGTGTCGTTATTCTTTGCCCCGCTTCGCTGTACACTCTTCGCTCTACACTCTCCGCTATCCGCTATCCGCTCTCCGCTATCCACTCTCCACTGCCGTCTTGAGCTTCAACTTTCGGGGCATCGTTGTCGATGTTGTCGAAGTTGTTGGCGTGGCGCGAACAAAAACATTTCAAATATTCAAAAAAAAGCCAAACCCCCACGCACATCGCACTCGTACATCGACACATGTAGGGAGGGATGGTGGATGGGTTGGTGGATGGTGGCTGGTGGCTGGTGGCTGGGGGGGGGCACGAACTGTACTCAACTAGTCGTGGCATGTACTGGCCATAGAAATTCATCTAACGGCTGTAACAGGTAATTGAACTTGGTTATATGGCCCTCGGAATGGCGTCGCGTCGCGCTGCAAATGGAAATTGTGGAAATGTGGAAGCCGGGGAAATGGGAAATGGAATTGAATGACGCGCGCGCATCGTGTGCCAAATGTGAAGGGTGGGTGGGGGGGTTGGGGCCCTCAGGCACTCCTCAGGCAAATGCGTGCGAACTATATAATGCGGGCATAAAAAGGATTTGCGCACAAGGAGCAGCACAAGGAGCGAAGGGCAGCATGTGTGCGTCGTGGCTGCTGCTGGCTGCTGATGCTGATACTCCCATGCGGTGGGGTGGGAACACATCTACTGATGTGTGTGTGTGGCATGAGGCAAGACGAGAGGCCAAGTCAATTTCAAGTAACATCCCGAGGACTCTGTTGCTATATGTATGAAAATTGCAAATTGTACTCCACATAGTTTGTGGCAGGGGCAGGACAACTGTTGAACTGTTGAATAATTCATGGCCAGCCGGGAGATTTAGGCAGAGCAACAAGATGATGTCTGTTAAGCGCGCTTGATGCCGATGTGTGGCACACATAACTGTAAATCGCCCGAGTGCGGAGTCCAAAGCCAGCAGCCCAAACTTCGCTGGCTGGCTGGCTGGTGGCACAGCTTAGATGGGGCACAGTTGGGGGCCACGGAAAGCCACTCATGTGAGTAGCACTGACTGCAAATCAGAGCTGGCTGCTGGATGGGGGGGAGGCTGTGTACATTCTGCTGCTGTGCTGATCTGCTGCTTCTCTGCTCTATTTGCCACACGCCACAAGCGAAGACAACAAAAGCAATAAGCTGCAAACAAAAACAATGCTCCCCAGTGCCCGGCACAGCCACAGCACAGCCATTCGATGCAACACGCAGCTCCGAGTCGAGTCTCGTTTGTGCATTTTCTTTTGCTTGCCACACACACACACAGCCCAACCCCACCCACGTGGCATGAATGGCGGACGTTTGCTGTCGTCACTGGGCTCCTGGTAGCTGCGTCCGTGTCCCCACTCACATGTGTGTGTACTTCCCCTCCCCCCAAGTGGCGGTGAAACTGAATAGGGGGCATGGGGCATGTTGGATGTGCATGGGTAGCTGCTACTCGCTTGCTGGGTGTGGGGTGGGGTGGGTGGCTGGTGCATGCGACTTTGGTCTTGGTCTTGTTGTCGTCGGGTGATTGTGTTAGGGACTTCTTTCTTTTGTTTGCCCAGCCGGCAGCACTTGCCAGCCAACAGGTGGCACCTACTTCTGGACACCAGCACCATACCGCATCGCATCGCACTCCACCCACCACTCCACCCACCCACAGGGCGAACGACCCACTGCCCACACAGCCCACACGGCTGAAGGACGTTCGACGCTTTTCTTTCCTTTTGCTGTGCAAACTTCTCCTTCTGCTTGTTTTTTGTCCACTCTGACTGCTTCTTTTGGTGGCTTCGCGTGCTCGGCAGAGCACTTTCCTGTTTCCTTTTTCTTTCGAATGATGGTGTGGCACACTCCACACTCCACCCCCATTGCTACCCACTCACCCTGCCACCCACCAGTGCACCCTCTTGCACTGGGGGCTGGGGAACTGGGAGCTTGACATTGAATTCTGGCTGTGCATCTGACTGCTTTTGCACTGGCTAGCCACTCGATTTTCTAAGCCTCTGTTTCAGACGCTATTTCTTTTAAAATATTAATTATTTATTTAGCATAGTTAAAGTAAACAATATACGTGAATTGCAATGAGTACAAACTCGAATGTTGTGTGGGCTTAGGCCTGTCTACGTGATGGTTTGAAAGCTGGCGGTGTCCTTCAGCGTCAGCGGCTTCCACTTGATATCCACGCTGTGGTCGGCCGGCGGCTGGTCATCGTCGCAGCTTCCAGAGCAATTGGACTTCTTATAATTATCAGCTGGGTCTGCAAGGCCCAGATAGATGTTAGCGAGTGTGGATGGAATGTACTTAACGCTCAGTTAGCACTTACCATGTGTGTGGTCGTGGTCCTCAGTGCAGGACTTTGGACAGAACACAATCTTCACATCGATGGGCTTGTGCACCGTCAGGGTGAGCTCGGGCACCTCTTCGGCGTCATAGTCGCCGGGATTGGACACTAATGGGTGGAACGAACGATTAACATCATGGCTCACTGGGCTGCCACTCGGTTTAGTGGCAATGGAAATTGGCGTTAGATGTACGGTTTGGTTCTGTGCCTCCAGCAGCCAGGGCTGACTGTTCACTCTGAGGACTTCTTTGTGTCTTGTGATTGCTGTGATTGATTCTGTTTCGGATTCTATTCTGATTTCAGGTGTCGTTGTTAATGCCACAGCGGCTGTTGCAGCATCTGTTGTTTGTCGTCTGCTTGTGGTTGGTGTCAATGTTGTAGCTGTTGTTGCTATTGTTGTTGTACTTGTTGCTATTTTTGGTGTAGTTGATGTTTCTGTTATTGTTGCTGCTGTTGTTTGTGTTGTTCTTGGACCCTCTGTGGTCGATGCACCCAGTCCCATGGGCGGCCGTATTTGTTTCAGTGTACTTGCTGTGGAAATGTCAAAATGATTCCCCCCATCAGCCTCGGGTCTGGATTGCACGCTGAGTTCGTCCCAATTCATTGCTAAATCATTTTCAAATGAATTCGCGCTGCTTGCTACCAGAGCCGCAGGCAGGATGGAGTGTCGCTTCGCAGTGCCCGGCCGCTGCTCAACCTCTTGCTTGCCTTCAGTGGATCTTTCTGTGGCATTCACTTGGCCCGTGAATGCCTCTGCATCGCTCGCAGAATCGTAGTCCTTGTAGTCTTCATCCTCATAATATTCGGAGCTGAGATTGCTCGAGTTTCTTGCGGGCAGATGCGATGCCCCAATCCCTGCCTCTGCAGGCGCTGGTGTACTTTTACTTGTACTCGTGCTGGTGCTGCTGGACTCCAGAGGTGCTGCTGTGGAAGTGGACAGCTGAGGCACAGCTGTGGATGCTGTGGATATCTCAGGTGCTGCTGTGGATGTGGCTGTCCGAGGGACAGCTGTGGATATGGAGATGGTCTCTTCTGTACGTCCCCCTTTGAGCACGCCAATCAGCAAACTATTCTGCTCCTGCTGTTGTGGTGGTGGCGCTATTGGCTTTGCCTCTTGCGGACGGCTAAGCCGCTCTTTCAGCAGGGTCATCACGAAACTCTTTTGAGGCGTTTCCGTGGATGTGCCGGATACCTGGGACTGGGACTCTTCCGTTTGGTTCAGCCTGTTTCTAAGCAGACTCATGAGGAAGCTTTTGTGAGGTGATTCCGTGGTTATGCTCGACATCTGGATCTCTTCCGGACGGGATAACTTCTCTTTGAGCAGCTTCATCAGCATTCTCTTGTGGGCTTCAGTGTCCAAGTTCTTGGCTTCTGCGAACACATCGTTTTCCAGTTCTGAGACCGAAGCCGGAGCTTCATCATTGACATAGTCGGAGTCCGCATAGTTATCCGCGTACTCCGAATCACTAGTCATCGTTGCATTCGGCTTGGCAGTAGTTGTGGAAGATAGTTCTGGCAGTGGGCGGCTGGTCGTAGTAGAAGTAGTTTCAGTATTCAGCTCCTGCTGCAGGGGTTCGACCAGCGGCGGCACCACAGCGGCTGCGGTGGTGCTAGCCGTGGCTTTAGCAGTCTCCTTCTGCACAACTTCATTCGCTTCATCTGCGTAGAGCTCGGACGTTTCGCTGTCATAATATTCAGAGTCTTCGGGCTCCGCCTTCGTGGAGTTTGGCGATGCCAACACAGGGGACGGGGACGTCTGTTCAATTGAACGCTTCTGCGTTGAGGCCAACTGTTTGATGGACAACCGCAGGGACTCGGCCATGAATGGCTTGGATGTGGCCAGGTTGTGCCTGGCCAGCTGTGCGAGGGTCACACTAGGTGTGGGCGCGCGAATGGTGGTCGGCGGTGGGGTGGATATCACATGGAAGAGTTTCTCCAGCAGATGTGCCGCTGCCAACGTTGACATTGCGGATTTCTTCGTCCGGGGATCCTCTGTCGTCGCATCCACTTCCGCTTTGCTGTCTGCCGCCGCCACCAGTGGCGCATCGTCCATGTAGTCAAGATTCAGTTCACTGGAAACAAAGTTGTGGGCAACCACATGCTCCTGCAAGCCCTTCTCCCTAACGAACAGATTCTTATTTGTGGATAATTCGGGGTTGCTGTTTGTGTTGCTGAGTTCTTGCTGTTGGCTTTGTGGTGGTTCGTGTTCGTTTTCGTGTAGTTCTTGTAGTTGATTCTGTTGTTGTGTACATGCAATGTTTTGTGTCTTTGTATCTGTAAAGTAAGTGTTGTGTGTGGGTTAGGAATTCCTTGCCGCATGGCACAAATGCTTGGAAAATCATCTTTGGATTCTTTGGACTTACCCTCCGTCGTTCCATGATCAGGGCAGACTGGTTTCGTTACCGTGGTCTGCTCTTCCGAAGGAGTACTGCTCTTGGCAGTTGTTGTAGTTGTTTCAAGTGTGGTGCTGCCTGACGGTTGGGGGCTCGTTGTTGTCGATGGTGCTGATGATGGTTGGGCTGTTGTCGTTGTAGGCTTTTCAGATGTCGAACTTTTCGGAGTTGTTGTTGTCTGTTGTGTGGTGGTTGAGGTAGTTGTCGATTGCGGAGTGGTTGTTGTTGTTGGTTGTGGAGTGGTACTGGTAATAGTTGTCGACTTCGGAGTCGTGGATGTTGTTTGTTCTGTGGGCGTTGAGATAGTTGTCGATTTCGCAGTTGTAGTAGACACATTCGGGGTGGTGGTTGTTATTGTCGACGTTTTCGGAGCTGTCGTTGTTGTTATTTGAGTGGTGCTTGTAATGGTTGTTGATTTAGGAGTTGTCACTGTGGTTTCAGGAGTTGTGGTTGTAATAGTTGTAGATTTCGGAGTTGTCTGTGGTTGGCGTGGTTGTAATTGTCGACGTTTCGGATTTGAGTGGTGGTTGTAATTGTTGTAGATTTCGGAGTTGTACTGTTGTTATTTGAGTGGTGCTTGTAATGGTTGTTGATTTCGGAGTTGTCACTGTGGTTTCAGGAGTTGTGGTTGTAATAGTTGTAGATTTCGGAGTTGTCACTGTGGTATCAGGCGTTGTGGTTGTAATTGTCGACGTTTTCGGAGTTGTCGTTGTTGCCTCCGGAGTTGTGGTTGTAATTGTCGTAGATTTCGGAGTTGTTGTTGTTATTTGAGTGGTGCTTGTAATGGTTGTCGATTTCGGAGTTGTCACTGTGGTTTCAGGAGTTGTGGTTGTAATAGTTGTAGATTTCGGAGTTGTCACTGTGGTATCAGGCGTTGTGGTTGTAATTGTCGACGTTTTCGGAGTTGTCGTTGTTGGCTCCGGAGTTGTGGTTGTAATTGTCGTAGATTTCGGAGTTGTCGTTGTTGTAATTTGAGTGGTGCTTGTAATGGTTGTAGATTTCGGAGTTGTCACTGTGGTCTCAGGAGATTTGGTTGTAATTGTTGTTGATTTCGGAGTTGTCACTGTGGTTTCAGGAGATGTGGTTGTAATGGTCGAAGTTTTCGGAGTTGACGTTCTTGGCGCCGGAGTTGTGGTTGTAATTGTCGACGTTTTCGGAGTTGTTGTCGTTGGTTTTTGAGTGGTGCTTGTAATTGTTGTCGACTTCGGAGTTGTTACTGTGGTCTCAGGATTTGTGGTAGTTATAGTCGTAGATTTCGGAGTTGTCACTGTGGTCTCAGGCGTTTTGGTTGTAATAGTTGTAGATTTCGGAGTTGTCGTTGTTGGTGTTTGAGTTGTAATAATTGTAGATTTTGGAGTTGTCACTGTGGTCTCAGGAGTTGTGGTTGTAATTGTCGAAGATTTCGGAGTTGTCGTTGTTGTTATTTGAGTGGTGCTTGTAATAGTTGTAGATTTCGGAGTTGTCACTGTGGTCTCAGGAGATGTGGTTGTAATTGTTGTCGATTTCGGAGTTGTCACGGGTGGTTTCAGGAGATGTGGTTGTAATGGTCGAAGTTTTCGGAGTTGACGTTGTTGGCGCCGGAGTGGTGGTTGTAGTTGTTGACGTTTTCGGAGTTGTTGTCACTGTTGGTTTTTGAGTGGTGCTTGTAATTGTTGTCGACTTCGGAGTTGTTGTTGTTGGTCTCAGGATTTGTAGGTAGTAATAGTCGTAGATTTCGGAGTTGTCACTGTGGTCTCAGGCGTTTTTGTTGTAATTGTCGACGTTTTCGGAGTTGTCGTTGTTGGCTTTTGGGTGGTGCTTGCAATAGTCGTAGATTTGGGAGTTGTCACTGTTGTTTTAGGAGTTGTGGTTGTAACAGTTGGGTCCGGAGTTGTGCTTGTAATAGTCGTAGATTTCGGAGTTGTCACTGTTGGCTTTGGAGTTGTTGACGTCTCCTTTTGAGTTGTGCTGTTTGTTGTAGTTGATTTCGGAGTTGTCGTCGTTTCAACTGTTGTCGTAGTAGCCGGCGGCACGCAGTGCGGTGGCATTGTCGTCTTAGACGGTGCCTCGGTGGAGCTCTCTCGCTTCACGGTTGTACTCTTTGAAGTGCCGTCGGGTGTGGAGGAGGTGGGCAGAATGACAATGTTCTCGGACAGATGTCCTTTGAACGCCTTAAGGGTTTCCATCTGTTCCGGGGCCTCCGTAACTTCATTCATTTTGGCTGTAGAATATGTGTACCTTTTGTACTGGTATTTGGTGGTTCCCTTGCTTTTGTACTTTGCTGTGGCGGACTCTTCCTCCACGAGACTCTCAGCTGCAGGCTGGGATCTATATTGATACGGTTGGTATTCATAAGACGGATAGATTGGGGGGCCAGCCGTGGTTGTGGTAGTCGTGGGCGGAATTACAATATCCACCGACGGCTTTTCGGCAATTCCAGACTTCATCACAGACGGCTCATTGACCTGCTCCTTTACTCCTGATGCCGTGTCGTAGTCATCCTCCTCGTAAAGGGTATGCGGGGCTGGGTACGGGTAGTAGTGTGGCAGTTGGGGATAGGCAACCTGTGGCACGGGCACTGGCACGTAATCGTGGCACTTGACCTCGCTGCGCGGTCGGCAGAGTCTCCGTTTGGGGTCATAGCTGTTGCTGCCGGGACACTTGAAGCGGGTCTGCAGATAGTTTCCGTTCTCCTGCAGCTTGCAGGTGTAGTAGAGGGCGCAGTCCGTGGGCGACCGGAAGGTGCCCTCCTCCGTGCACTCGGGAAACTTGATCTCACAGTTAACGGGTATATAGCTGCCGCTGTTCGAGATCTCCGTCGATGGGCACTCGTCGCCGGGAATGCACTTCCTCTTTAGTGGCGAAAAAATCGTTCCCGATGGGCAGGCAAAGAGCCAGGGCAGCGACTCGTTCTTGTCGCACCTGTAGTAGACCCTGCAGTCGCTCGGATGTGCGAACCGTCCCTCCTTCACACAGGGCGGCGCTTGGGGCTGCACCCGATGGGCGCAGCGACCACTGCTTGAGTTGAAGCTCTGTACAGAAGAAAAATGTTGCGTGTTGCGTGTTGCGGGTTACGGGATTACGGGATTAACGGATTAGCGCTGGCAAGAGCGATGGGTTACCTCGAGTTTCGGGCACTTGCTGAAGATCACACAGTTGGGCTGGCAGACATAGTAGTACTCCTGCTGGTCGGGATGCGGCTTAATCCCCAAGTAGTTCCTCGAGCACCGATTGTTCTGCAGAAGCAGAGGCAGAGACACACAAAATGTTAAGTTGGTTCCCCCAACAGCAACAGCTACAGCAATGGCTCCCTTTTGTTTTCACTTACATAATCAATTCGAACTGGAATGCCGCCGCCGGGGAAGGGCTTGTAGACGCCATAGACACTATCGTAGTAGCTGCCCGGTGGACTGAACACCGGCGGTGGCGCCTGGTAGCCGTATCCGTAGGGCGCCTGGTAGGCATACGGCTGTCCGTAGTAGCCGCTGGGCAGCAGCGAATGTTGCGGCGGCCCGCCGGAGTAGTCGCTCGGCACTTGGCGGATCGAGCGACTGTTCACCAGGGTGAACAGGGCCACAAGCAGCAGCAGCAGCCAGATGGAGTGGGTCATGGCGGGCACTTCCACTTCACTTCCACTTCCAGTTGGCGAGGGTCGAGAGTGATAAAGGGAGGGAGCCTAATCTTGATGTGGATCACGAACACGAACTAAACTTATCGCACTACGACTGGGGACATCTGACGAACACACGTACTCCACACCTACTCTACACTGTACACTGTACTCTGTAGTATCTATTCCTGCGGGTCCTCGCTGCTATTTTGTTAGTCCTTTTGCTGCTGCGACCGCGCTTACCTCTCGTCAGACAATGTTGGGTTACAGCGGGGCAGACGCGCTTAAATGGTCTCTGGAGTGCGCTCGCTTTCGAGAATGTTGCATAACTTAAATGCCAATGGGCCGCGTCGTGATTTAAGTACAAGAAACGTTTGCCCACCGAGACACAGCGAGCGCGTCGAAGAGCAAGAAAGCTAAAAAAAAAAAAAAAAGAAGAAAAGTCACAGTGCCGCTCTCCGGCTGCATAGTCTGGGTCTAGCTAGCTTTGTGCTCTCTCCACGTGCCCCACAGACCGGAAGAGGGCCCCCGAGCCGTAGCGGTAAGCAGCGTTCATATCAGGGCCGTGCACCGCTCGCTCTAAAATGCATGACTACATAGTATAATTTTTGATGGCGGGAGAGAGAGAGCGAGATGAGCGACTGCATTTACTTCCGTCCCGGAGATGGGTCGATGTCGTTGCCGTCTTATTGCGTTGATCTGGCATGAGTAATCCGTTCTAGACGTGATCAATGGAGCTGGCCAATGCGGAACCAATGCAAAGTCTGCAGCGATAAGAAAAAAAATGTAAACATCTGTCTATGAAATCAGTAAAAAATCATGAAAATACGACCATACAAAAATAGCCAAAAAAACAATGCTTTGGGGGGCGAGAGGCAGCACGCAAAATGATGCAGATGCAGAAGCAGAGGCAGAAGCAGAGTTGGATGCTGATGGAGATGCCACACCCACGCAAATTTCAGCCCAAGGTTACTCACCATGCAACACCCCAAACCCCAGGCCCAAGCCCGAACCCAAACCCAAACCCGTAATTGTTTACGATTCTTTCACGTACTTGCGACGAGTAGGCGAGAGTTACGCACCAAAATATTTTGACGATTCGTGCGTCATTTAACACGTTTTGCACTCTTGGCCCGAAAGGGCACGAATTCCGGGGTGGGCGTTGCGATGCGCTGCGCTTCTTTCCGCTGCGGCTGCGGCTGCATAACAGCGCCCACGTTAGAATGAAAAAGGGTCTGTTTCCACGTAAATAACCCTGCAATCTCAGGCACGTTCCCCTATGTAACTCCTAGCCAAAAAACCAAACCAGATAAAGCCCACCTAGTTGCGACTTTGTGGCCTGAGTTTATTCTTGCCCGTGGAAACCATTCAAACAATGGCTTTTCATGGAACAAAAACTCAGAAAATCCAAGCTCCTGCATTTAGCAAAATTTATCAATGAATAATACAAATGGTGCGAAAAAACATTGTACCTGCTGGGTAATATGTGAAAGATAAAATCTAAAAATTAATCTACAGATACGTGCTGCAAGAAAATCTAAAAGAAAACACTTGGCTTTATTTTATTTACGTATTTTATTTCAAACATTTTCCATCTGCACATATATCTATGGGAATGTTTGTGCAATAGCTGGGATCTTGCACTCGCAGTTGATACTATGTTTGCACCTGACCATCCACACATAATCTGCTTATACCACACGAATATCACATGAAAACATACGCGAGCGAAAACATCTGTATTTTATTTCCGGCTCTTGGCTTCCACGATGCGCCACGATGCGATTCCATATGGGGCCAGCAATCGCTGGAGTTTTCTTGGTGGGGTGCCATCACATAATCTCACTAAATACGTGATATCCGAACGATAGCTGAATATGGGAGCACTAATCTCGTTGTCATCGACAATAGACAAGATCAACACCAATCAAACGCTGAAACACTGGGCTGCTCTTATCTATGCCAAATGCCATTGCATTCTTCATGATACTCAGGCATTCCCACGTTGCAGATCTATATCTAGAGATTACCAGCTATGGAGTGGGGATGGGGCAAAGAGGCCCGCCGCGGCGGTGGGTGCGACAATATAGATATGCTGACGAAAAGTCTGCCACTGAATATTGAATATGCATGCATACATATATTGAATGATTTCGACACTTACCTATCTGGATGTTTTTGTGAAGGATTGAAAGTCCCTCACAAGAAGCCCAGACAATTTAGATAGCAAAGTTTTGTGCGGACTAAAATTGTACAGCCTTCTGTAAAAAATAACAATAAAAACGGAGAAAACTTTTCCAAATAAATTGCAGTGAAAAGATTCGGAAATAATGTCGTGACTTTTACAGTGTTATTAAACTTTTGTACCGCTCGCTGGGGCAAGGCTGGCAATAGATATACACATATATCGGCATGCATATATATCGATGACATTAGCTGCACTATCTCAATCGATGATTGAAATGTCAATTGCTGTCATTCGTTCGGCTAAAAGTCATACAAATATTTGCAGCGGCACTCGCTTGATGGTTTTTGTGCTTTCTACGCTGTTTCTTTTTCCTGCATCGCTGTTCTAGTGGTAAGTGTCGGCCTGTGCGCTTAGAACTTTATTATTTGCAATATATTTTGAGCGCGTTGAACGATGCCTCGAATGGAAGTCGGTACTGGTAACCTCTAGATTATATATTTGTAATTTCCCCAAACTCAGCTTGCAATTGACCTTGGTTGGGAAAATGTAGAATGATTTTTGGCTCTGAGATTCTGTGGTTTATTTTTCCCCTTACTTCTCAGTTTTCTCCATAGCTCATTTTTGCATAGCTCATTTTTTCATAACTCTTTAAAAGTGCCAAGTGCTAAGTGTGCCAAAATATTTGTTCGCCCAACCTTTTTTTTTCCTTTCATAACTTGACCAAAAACACTTGCAATTAATTTTGGATGCTGACTGACAAATTGTCGGGCGACAAATAAAAGTAATTGCAGAAATTTTAAGATATGACAATAAACAAACGAATATTCTCAAGGGATCAATTAATTTCACAGGCTCGTGAGAATGGATACGCGCTATTGGTATTAACATCCCGGTGTCGCAGATCCGATTCGATTTTTTTTTCGAATTTCTATGATGCAGTGTGCAGACTTTAGATAGCAAAGTGACGTGGTAGGGTACGGCGCATACCAATCCAAATAAAGTGAAGAAGGTAAATAAGTTCCCATGGAATTCTGCCATCTGGATATTACACAGAGAATAATTCGACAAAATTCGACCGTTTTTTGCCATAGTCCCGAATCTGCTTAATTGATTTTATTGCCCCAAGCGCTCAGGATTTTAGACGCAGAACACGAACTAATATTCAGAGATCAGAAACGCCTCCACATGGCATTTCTGCAAGCTTTTGACATGCATTCTACATGAAATGAGCGCCGATCGTTGCTGTCGTGGCGTCGCAGAGAGCGAGAGCGAGAGAGAGCTTTAGCTCTGAGTTGCGGTTCGAAACTTCGCTGGCGATCGAGAACTAAACAAAGTACGAAACCGACAAAAGCTTCCAACAAAAGCTCCCAATAACTTGTCGGGAGAGTAAAGCAACCAAACCCAACCTCACCCACGATCCAGAGCAGGAACTGTGGCGGGCAGGACATGCCAGGGCCCTCGTCTTCGCCTTCGCCTTCATCCTTGTGTTTGAGTCTCTTAACTAACGAACTATTCACGCAAGAGAGCGGCAAAGTAAAATCCAGCTAAGAGGCTGGGCACCCCACATCCTGCTCCTCCCCTCTCTCCTTGTGCCAACAGAAGAGCAGCAAAAGAAATGAAAGCAGCCGAACAGAAAAAGTTGAGAAAAGTTTGCTGCAAGGAGAAGGAAAAAAGTAAAGTAGCATCCAGCCAAAGAGAAGGAAAATGTTTCCCGGCACAGAGGTGGTAGGCAACATGAGTGGGTGCTGGAGTGTGAGTGGGTGCTGGAGTGTGTGCGGGAGAGTGGGAGGGGCGTGGGGCAAATCCAGAGACCAAAATAAACAGTAGCAGCAGCAGCAGCAGAATCGCTGCCAAGCCAAAGTTGCTGGAACAGGAGCAGTAGCAGCAGCAGCAGCAGCCGAGGCAGAACCAAACAAGACAACAAAAAAAACATCGAAAGGGAAAATGAACAAAAAATGGCGAAGAAAACGAGAGGAAAACAACGAAAAGGAGCCTCCTCGTAGTGTGCGATTGTATTAGTATTGGCGTTCGCCTCGCGTTGGCGTTGGCGTTGGCGTCAGCATCGGCGTCGACGTTGACGTCAGCATTGCTACCCTGTATGTGTTTGTGTGTGGGTGTGTGTGTGGGTGTGTGTGTGGTGCGTGCAGCTTCTACGTCCCCATGTGGGTTGCGTTGCCCAACCAAGACTTTCACTCTCGTTGCGTTGACGTCGACAGCAGCTTCGGCTTCGGCATTGGCATCGACGTCAAGTTTTTCTTTTGCAGCTGTCATGTGCTGAGGGGGGGTTGAGGCGTGGGCGTGAGGCATGGTGCATGGGGGCGGGGGGACAACAAGAAGAAATTCTCCCAAGCAAACGCTAGAAAAAGGCATACGAAAGTGCGGCGAAACTGATAAATTTCCACGCCAAAACGCAGGCCAGCAAAAAAAAACAAGAAAAAGAAAAAACCAGGCAACGACGACGACGTTTCAAGGCTGCCTGGTGAATAGGGGCAAAGGTAACAGGTAGATGTGCTGGCGGAGTGGCAGCGGGGGGTTTGGCAGAAGCGACCTTGAGAGTCCATTCTTTGGCTCCTTTTTTGGGGTGGGCAGACCGAGACCAAAAACCGAGCCGGGACTTGACTGATGCCAGACGTCATTCTCCGAATGTGGTAACAAAAGCGCCGCCCGGCCCGGCCGTGTCTTGCCCAGCCTGTTGGCTGTGGTTGGTGGCCTGTGGTGGCCTCTGTCCTGGGTCAGGAGCCAAGCACAGTTCTAATTACCCGAACAGCTGACAGTTCGAAGTTCGAGCCACTGACCCACACACACAGACACAGCCACAGAGACATTGGCATATGGGAAACCACCTGTAAGCTGAAGAGTCCTGCCAACGCTGACCCAGGCATAGATTTAGGCCGTGAATGAGGTTTTTTTTTGGGTGGTGGGTTGTCGTGCCCTCTCCTTTCCCTCCCTCACACACACACACTCTGCTGTCGACGCTGGCTTCGGTCTTTGCCGTCTCCGTCTCCCTCTCTGCTCCCCCACCCCAAAAAAGGGATTTTTCTCGCGTTTAGCTTTTCTCTCTTGCTTCGTTTTCTTCGAGCTCTGCTCTCAACAGGTTGCAACTTGCTTGCCCTCAAAGTCTGCTGCTGTATGCCGCTGTGTGTGTGTGTGTGTGTGTGTCAGCCACCGTATCGTCCTTGTCTGTCACGGAGGTGCTGCCGGGCCGCCGACCTGCCGAGCTGCTGAGGTGCCCTGCTGGGTGCTTTAAGGCGGCTTTAATGTGGCTGCCAGTGACCTTGAAGACCGGGCTAAGGCTAACGCTAAGGCTAAGCGCTGCTGCTGCTGCCATGGCAGCAGTCAAGCAGTCACCCCCCCCCCAAACCCACCCGGGCCACGGGGTCTCCTTCTGTCTGCCCCCAGTAGTCCTGGCAACCAGACAAATCATATGTGTGTGCGTGTGTGTGTGTGTGTGGCTCGTGTCCTTATGTGGATGTCGTTGTCACGGCTACGCACCAACAAATCGTGTGGAATACTCGTGTGCCTGACTGGCTCCTGCTGCTGCTCCTGCTACTGGCTCCTGATGCCCAAGCACGCCCTAATTTGGGCTATCCTGTCGTGCCGT